TTTTTTTTTCCCCCCCCGCCGCAAACTCGTTCGACGCTGTTCGCTAACAAACGACAGATTTCTTGCAACCTGTATACAGTAAGTAAAGGAAGAATATACAAAAAATATAAATATAAAAATTAATTGCATTTTAAGAAAGGATACGCTCGTATGTTTATCAATGAACCAGGGTCAGCGTCAAAAGCTGACTGATAAAGTTTTTGATAGTTTTCCGCGCAATTTTTAAGTTCCTGAGCTGATTTTCTTAGCTATAAAATAAATATTTTATTAATACCATATTACAAATGTGATTATAAATATGACAAAAATAATATACCTGATTAGTAACGCGTCCATAACGTTGAAGATCATCTTTCGTTGTGAGAACTACTGTACATGTAATAGCAGGAGGTGGAGCTGTACAAAGAGATCTAAAATACAGTTGTATTTACTTGCTTGCATAATGTTCAAGAATTTAGAGATATAGTGATTTTATAACATATTCGTTATAATACCTGCACGAGTGTAAAAGTTGTACAATAGCTTGAAGAAATTCACAACGTAGTTTCGAGTATTCACTAGCAAACTGTAAACTTCGTAAAGGTGTACTAGCCGCTTTTAATGACGCGCATGCACTTGCATAACGTGCAATAGCTCCGTTTAACTTCTCCACTGTATGAACTCTTGCTTTGTCCTCTGTTTCTTCTGCGTTTTCCCTATATAAATAAACAAATTTGAAAAATCAGATTTATATGTTTATAAAGTGGAGCATTAAAAAATTATTTAAACTAACATAAGATAACTTTCAGCTTTTGTAACTAATTCCAAACCAGATAACCAAAAGTGTAGTTGTTCAGATGCAACTGTTTCCTTTAAGCTCCTAAATATTTGAGTTGCTATTGTATGATGACCATATCTTGCAGCGCTGCGTGCAATTCGATATTTAGTCCAACCATCTACATTTTTAATAACTTCATCTACTACATCCAAACATTCCGCATTCCATTCATATCCTCCGGCTACCATTTGAAAAAGTAGCGTACATAGCATTACCTTTAAGAGAAAAAATTTTCTTTTTAATTCTTTTCATGCTGTGTACATATTTTACTTGTAACTTACCTTTGTATGCACATGTACAGTTTGTTTAAGTTTCGTTAATATATCTGGTAAAAGTGGAAGTAATGTATTTTCTCCTAAACTCCCAATAGCACCTAAGGCTTCACATAAAGCAACAGCTTGTTTTTCACTTTGACCACCTTCTGTATAAGCATTAAAAAGTGTACTACCAATAGCATCAACAAATACTGAACAGTGGCTAGGTTGTGCGCAACATAATTTTACTGTCGAACGTAAACAAACTCTTAATTGACGTAAATATTTATCATCCAAAGCTAGCAATACAATTAAAGATTCAAGACAAGATACAACATCCTGTATGCCATAGGCTGGTAAACCTTCTTCATAGCTAAATGTAAAACATTCATGTTTTAATTATACATAATTACATTCGTTACTTTAAAAATATAATCATAAATAAAATAATCGTTACATATTTACCAATAACATGCAACTCTTGCTAAAATAGTAATTGCTTTTACTGCAATAAAAGGATCCGGTGAATAACAAGCATTTATACATAACGATAAAAGGGGATTTCCTTCTTCCCTATTTGCATCACATGTCACTGCACTTTGACTAAGTACCTAAATTAGACAATTTTAAAGATTTACTTGTGAATTCCAACCGTTATAAAAATTTCTTTTTTATCGCTATTTGAAAAATAAATGACAACCTCTATCACGTCTAAGGTTCGAATAAGAAGATCTTTATTTCCAGCACCATCTTGTAGAAGTGTAGTAGTACTCTCTAAAATATAAAATTCATAATATCTCCTTTCATCACATAAAATTATCTCATATCATATTTACCTATTAGATTATTGAGAGAACCTTGGGGCCATAAATGTGCTCCTCTTCTAGCTAATGAATGTAATAGATGTAGAGCATGGCGTTTGATAGTCAATCTTGGATCATCTTGCAGATAACGTAATAAAAGTGCAACTTGTTGTGGAATATCAATCAATGTTGCTGAAGCTAATGTACTTAAGGCACTTAATGTAACTCTGACAAATTCAACTGCTGGATAACTAGCAAGAAGTTCCGTGCATAATTCATTTACCTTCAACAAATTTGTACTTAAAAAATGTCTGAATACTTTCAAAGATCCAGAAGTTGATAGTTACATACCATTGAAGCTGTGAAAGTATCATGATGCATGTATTGTAAAATAGGTATCAGTTGTAACTTCATTGAGGCTGGTGTTGCTTGACCTCTGATCATATCAGATATTTTGCTACACATGGAAACAGCAAATAATTTTGATTGTGCTGCAAACATTTGTGCAGCATATATTGCAGCTTCAACTTCAACTGAATCATGGGAATCTAATGATCTTCGTATACTATGATGAACCTTACAAATTATGTAATGTTTTATGTTGCACATATCATGAGATAAAAATTAAAATATAAGAATTGATTTCTTTACCTGTTGCCTTTCTGGTATAATACCAGCCACACTGCCCAATGTACGTAGAGTCAGAGCTCTAGCAACTGGATCATTAGAATGTATTACACTATAAATACGCCTTACAAATTCATCAACATTTAGGATTTTATCTAAATGTTTTTCACTTTGTTGGCATACTCTAAGAACCCAAACACGTAAAAAATTACTGCCTGTACGAAAAACTTCTGCTAACTTCAAAAGAGAAGAATTTATCAATATAGGAAAAGGATATTTCTCAAACAATCGAGGAAATCGTACTATTGCTTCACATTGTTCACCAATCTTTGTTGAACGTAAACCTAAAAAATATATCCAGTAAATAAATCTGAGGAAAATGAACTTCAAGAAAACATTTACTGTATATTAGGGCTAAGAAGAAAGGATTGTGAGCTTGGTAAAATCTCTATATTAAAAATGTATTACAAATATAAAAAAAATTAATTTTTATTCAAATTCTATACTTAATATACTTTTATTAATTCGTTTATTTACATGTATATCAACATTAATATAATATTTCATAAAAACTATGAAAACATTGGTACAAGGTTAAGTTGAAGAATATAAACACACCTTTATCTAATTCTATAAGTGCAGTATTTGCATCTTGTTCTGGTTCACCAAGGCCTGTATCGTTAAAGGCGTTCATCCGCATACCAATCATTTTTCTCAATACACGAAATATATTAAGTAAAAATTAAATAACTCCTTTTCAGTAACATACGATATTTTGGAATGCTTGCATATACGCCACATTCAGTATGAATGAACTACACGTGCGCACGTAAAATACATATACTATAGCATGAAACAAATTACTTCTTTAAATAAAATGTCAAAATATGTAAAATTTGAAATAGTTGTAGCAAATTATTCTAATGTGTAAGTATTATACAAATTTGTAAAGTGCATGTTATGCTAAATTCTGGAATTTAAGTGGAATACATTCTTTTAACGAATAACGTTTCCTACAACAAAAAGCATCATACAAAAGTATTTTTCATCATTTATTAAGTTTCTGTCACTTTTGTTTAAATCAGACAAATTAGTGACATTCGTGGAGTGATTTAATTTTACATACACAAGATAACATAATTTTGAATAGTTGAGAATCACTGTCATGATAGATCGAACGACTATCTCGTGTGAATATAAGTCCTACATTCAGGTCAGTGCAGTTGACAATTAAACTCCGGCAAGTACAAGCGTCGCGCTTGTACTTAAACAAAAATAAGAAAGCACTTTATACATAAGCTACGCTTATAAAATAATCAGTTCCATAAGATTACATTATCGAATAAAAATTATATTTAACCGGACGTACAATGGTGGACTACAGCAAATGGAAAGATATTGAAGTAAGAACCTTAGTTTTGGTCCAGTATGCTTATGGAATATTCTAGAGTGGTAGTAGAAATTTCTAAGATATTTTTAATTTGTATTTTGAAAAAAATGTTGCATTTTATCCTAAATTCTGAAAAAATAATGTATTTTTATCAATACAAAATTATTGTATTAACATTTATACGACCGGCCGTAAACTGACGCAGAAATCCGATACCGAGTCACTTTAATCCATATCAAAATTTTCAGATGTTGATTTATGGCAACTAGTATTTATTTTCTATAGTTATTTTTATCATGCATTGACTTTTATTATATATTACTAATATACAAGCATACATTGTTATATAATATAAAAAATAATGGATAAGCTATTAAAACTTATATTTGTCAGATTTCAGATGACGAGGATGACACTCATCCAAACATTGATACACCATCATTATTTAGATGGCGTCATCAAGCAAGAATTGAAAGAATGGAAGAACGAAAACGTGAGCAAGAGGAACATCAGAGAAAAAAAGTGGAGTATGTTAATTTTTATACATCAATCATTCTGTTTTTGTTATATGTACTTAATATTTTACCATGTTAAATTAACAAATTGATATAAATTTATAGAACTTTGCAAAAATTAAAAGATACAAAGGAGAAACTTGCAAAATTGGAAAATGAACAAAAGGATGTAGCTGACTTAACTACATTAAAAAAAGTTCTGCAAGATCTTGAAGAGGAAGAGAAAAAGATTCAAGAAAGAGAAGAAGAAATGAAGAAGAAAGAAAAACTAACACCTTGGAATGTTGATACTATTGGCCAGGATGGTTTTACAAAGACAGTAATTAATAAAAAGCCACCACGTAGAGAAGATGACACTGGTTTGTCAGATGAAGAGAAGGAAAAGAAAATGAAACAATTTGTAAAAGAAAATGAAAAAAAATTAGAAAAATTTGGTATGTTGAGGAAGTATGAAGATAGCAAGGCATTCTTGACTGAAAATCCTCAATTAGTGTGTGAAAATACTGCAAATTATTTGGTAATTTGGTGTATTAATCTGGAAATAGATGAAGTAAGTATACATTTAAGTGTTTCTGAATGAGTACTTTTAATTATTATTTGAATTTACTTTATTATATTATTAATTTTAGAAACATGACTTAATGGAACATGTTGCTCATCAATGTATATGCATGCAATATATTTTGGAATTATCAAGACAGTTGGATGTTGATCCAAGAGCATGTGTGAGTTCATTCTTCAGTCGTATTCAAATTGCTGAAGTAGAATATAAAAATTCCTTTGATGATGAATTAAGAGGATTTAAAGACAGAATACGTAAGAGAGCTGCTGAAAGAGTAGCAGATGCCCTTAAACAAGTTGAAGAAGAAGAAAAAGAAGCACGTCTTGGTCCAGGTGGTCTAGATCCAGTTGAAGTGTTTGAAAGCCTTCCAGAGGTATAAATAAATTTATGGTAGATGTATTTAATACTACTTTATATTTACTGTAATATCAATATATTATTTTTAGCCTCTACAAAAATGCTTTGAATCACAAGATATTCCTTTGCTGCATCAAACACTAGCAGCGATGTCACGAGAAGAAGCATCTTATCATATGAAACGATGTGTCGATAGTGGCCTTTGGGTACCTGATACAAAAACTAAGGAAAAAAAAGATGAAGAAGAATCTGTAGAAGATGTTGAAGGAACAACTGATCCGGAATAATGCGTATCTGTAAATTACATGTGTTGACTTTCATGCCTCTTTTCTGCAAGTATCCTTTAGTATCACGAATATGTTAAAATAAAATATTGTCACTGGACAATGGATAAGAAATTTTTACCTTCATTGGCTTATTCTTATTGTAATAACATTATACTATTGTTATGCTTTGAGTTACTTTAAGACTGAATCACTGCATAATTCCTAATTTTTGTAGGAAGTGTGAATATTACAAATTGTTAATTAAACAGAACAATTATCTAGTAAAATGTGATACACTTTATCCCATATATTACGTTGAATAATTAAAAATTACTTCGGATATAAGTATTCATAGATATATAATATTTGTATGTATGTGATAAGTAATACATGTAGAATACATGTACGTGTATATAAATTTAATCTGTTGCGTATCCATTACATGAATTCTTTATATCTTTTTCTTGCTGTTATTTCATATGTACATTGAAAGTTGTAAACAAACTGAAATTATAATGTAAATAAAGAAACTATATTAAATTTTTGTGTAGATTCCTTAAACAAAGTACACGTGCACTGAAAAATTTACCAAATATATTTTAATCCTTAGTTTATTTTATTTTCATTATAGTCAAAAATAAATTTAGACTACCATAAATGTATTTTTTAGAAAACTAATGTAATTAAATGTTTAATTACGGATATTAATGAAATATAACAAAAAAGTTATATTTTAGATCTATTTTTATAAAGAGAATTACGTTAAGTGTATGTATATATTATCTTAATAATTTTTCATGTTTTAATCCTTCTATAACAGTTTCGTATACTTATTTTACGCGCCAAATATTAAACGAGATATCGATATATAATGTAGTGAGAGATCGATATTCGACCGGAAACTGTAAATAATCGTATATCGAACTCGTGGGCTTTCCTTCCTTTTCCGGTATGACGTGCCACGGGTGTTTGGGTAATATTTTTCGTCTTTCATTCTCGTCATAATACGTTAGTTTCATCGCCTGTGAAAACACAAGCTGGTTTTCATTGGATCGGGTAAAATTGTTTGTTTTATTAGAAATAATTTTTTTGTATTTAAAGTACTTAATATTCTACAGTTTCAATTCAATCAAATTTAACATTTGTCTCTACCCATTCTAATGGAAAACGACAGCTTGTACAGAGTTATGTTGCTTTATAAAATTGCTTATTCACTTTGCATGGTGGCACCATTAACGTTCATACAATTATGCACTATTCCTTTTCCAATTTATCATACATACTTAGTTTTATGGTTATATTCTACTAAATAAGATTAAGTCTCTGAGCTCAAATATAATATTGCGCATTTACGATTTTCATGAATATCAGTACTCATCAACTTTTTCGATGATACTGACATGTATAATGTCAATTTGATGAAATCAATATTACATCTGAATAATTTAATTTTCTCGTACGTTTTAACGTATAATTGAAATAAAGTACATAAAAAATGTTGAAAGAAACCATATACATAAATGAATTGGTTGCATATTTCGTCCGATCATCGTAATTGCGCATATACAGCATCGAAAAACCGTCGCCAGGCATTCTGGGTAAAATTTCCGTGAGTAATCAAAATGGCTGTCATACAACGATTTCCGTTTTGTGACTACGTTTTAATGTAATTCTTAAAAATATAATTTTTTTCTTGAAATCTATCACTAAGGTCAGAGGGTATAAATACATATTTTCGAGAGAAAAAGCATTCTTTCAGATTTTGGTATTGTGTTCATAAAAGATTTAATTTTTATCGCATTTACATGGTGTTCATTTTAGCGACGGGTGTAGATGAAGGAAGGGGGAGGGAGTAGCGCGCGCGCGTTGCATGATGGGACGATAGACGGGAGGACGGTTGGGGAGGGCGAAAGAACGAGTCGAGTTCACAAAATGGCGGCCAAGCTCAGGCCCGTGACCATATAGTACGTGAAAATTCGATAATTTTGCACGATGTCGCGACTTTGTACATCAATAGTCGTTTAATATTGCGAATACGTGTATACGTGGTAGTTTAATTATTAAATTAACGTGGTTTTGTGCGTGGTGCGTGTAATATCGAGATATCGGTGCGACGCGCAGACGGGACGATGCAGGTGAGTGGTTGGGTTCGAAAATTGTTTAAGTTTTAGCTTTTCTTCGATTTTTTTAGCAATAATTGTTTGTTTTCGTTGCTGATATAGGCATCAGTGTTATTTTAAAGATCAATTTGCGTGATATGGCCGCGGTGTTGTTTGGAGTAGGGAAAAATCGCGTTGTCACATGCGTTTCATTGAACTACTGGGAGAAAAATCCTCGTAAAAATTAAAAAAATCATTGTAATTTTGTTTAAAAGGTTTCTGCGTATGGGGCGGGGTCCCACTGACCTTAAGAGCTCAGAGACTTGTCTCTACTAAATCACAATTTTATGTAATTTTACATAGTTTCCAGCCACTTAATAACCTATAAGTTTGTTTACATTTGTTCAATTTGACATTTATCACTTAAAATATCATTGTTCCACCCTAATTTTCATAAAAAATGATTCCCTGCATTCTCCTTTAACTTAAGTCCATGCTTATTCAAAAATTTGAAATAGACCCATTTTTGCAAATTAAGCTCAAAGATTATGATGCACATTCTCTGCATTATAGTAGAGATTGTGTAACACAATCATCTGTAAAAGCTGTAGCAATTAAATGCTTTTCATGTGGAAAATACTTCATATATTCAAAGCTTTTTCTTTTAGAAGGTAGCAGGGATTTCTCTAATATTTCAAGAATTTTTATATGTAATGGATAAGGTCTGGTTTTTCATTGATTCTTTGTTTTTTTTTTATAAAACTTAGATTTGTATGAACTTTGATGTATCATGCATTTATTCTGTGTTTATAAATAACAAGAAGGTGATACATTTGTAACTTTGAATATCATTTTTAATAGAATTTTGTAAAAGTAAAGTATAAAATAAAGAGAGACGACGATTCTTGTCAATAGATAAAATATTTGAAATAAGATTTCTCTGAAAATCAATTCAATATATGGAGTAATGCAAAAAATATTTTTGTATTTCTTTTATTAGAAATATTTTTTGGTTGTATAATATTTAATAACTAATGGTGCGTAATACATTTTTACCAAGATGTATTGGTAACAAAACTAAATGCTGAGACTTTAAAATATAGGAAATGATTATTTAATTCTGTAAACAGCTGATGCTTAAATTGCTTCGATGATAACAGAAAAAAGGGACTTATTCCTCTGTGATTAATATTTAAAATTTATCATTTCTTGAGGTCAAAGGGTGTAATTATTACAAATGTATTATATGGAGAAATATATTCTTGTTACATACAAAAGTTATTCACCAATATTCATATCATTATTAGTACAGTATTAGTTACATATGGCATAAATTTTGAGATAGTTGTATTCTTACTTTCATAATGATATGGGATAATAATACATAATAAAGTTTCAAACGGTTCTTAATGTAATAACCATTTCTGTAAGAAACAAGGTTTTCCAACTATAAAAGTCTCATTTCTGTTATATGAAGCACATGTTATTGCATAGCTTCAGTCATAATTTGTTATTTTAAGAGGATGTAAGAGAACCTTAATTTTTGAAGAATAATGTGCTTCACACAACAGAGTTATATTTTATATTTTCTTCAACATGATGTTGAAATTGTTCACTTTCTTCAGTCTTTTATTACCAAGAATATTTAAATTTAAGTGCGTATCAAGTGATGTTCTAATACTAAAGTAGATACAAAATTGTCATGGATTGAAGTTTTCCTGAGAACTAAGAACTTGTACTCTATCCAAGAAACAGATGTAAATTTTTAAGTTCAAACGAGTGTTTTGCTTATAATGTACTTGCTGAGTTGTTCAATAAATGTGTAAAGTAATGAAATGGTGAATTATATTATTCTAAAATACCCACTATACCTTACACTAGTTATTTACAGGAAGTTGCTCTATGCACCTTATATTAATCATTTACAGGAAGTCCTGAAGAACTTTTACTACTTCATGGTTTAAGATAGTTACATGCAATACATAATAAAGATTCTCTTCAAACCTTGAAGCAGTTTTGACATGAAAGCAGAATTTACAATTTTTTAGGAATGAATTTATCATTATTACATACAGATGTATTTTTATGTGTGTACTGCAAATAACTATTTGATATATTGCTTATCTATATTAATGTAGGTGTTTAATTATATTTGTTTCTTTATCAATAAATACATGGATACAATTCAAGAATGCAAAATCAAATATGATGAATCCTCAGTATTCTGTTGCTATGTTTGTGGAGGATGAATTTAAGAGCTTGAAAATGGAGTATTTCCTAACTACAAAATGGTGGTCAAGAATTATAAAATGGAGGAGAAATGTTCTTGATAGATGGCACTGTTATGTATGCACTATAATTTATGTATAAGTTATATTCTGAACATCAAAAACATGCAAAACCATGAAGAATGTATTGTCACTATTTTAAAGATATACTGAATTAAATCTACCTAATTATTCTTAAAAAACAAAAAATAATGTAATCTAGAAAGATCTGTATGTCAGCATTAAAAGGCAAAAACTATTCCAAACAACACTCTGCGACTTAATGTATTTTTGAAAATTGAACAATGTTAGATTGGTCTAATTAAATTACAGAAAACATTAGAGTCTGAGTCTGGTAAAGAATCTGGATCTGATTCTGAAAATGAAAGTAAGAGTGATAGCTCTTCTTCAGGAAGCAATTCAGGATCTGGATCAGGATCAGAAAGGTGGGTATTAAGACTACTGTTATCTAATCCCCTTCTTTCAGAAAGTCCAATATATGAAAAAATTTGATGTTTTGTGATGTTGAAACATTCTACACTTATTTATTTTGTTTTAGTTGTTTTATTTTTCCAACAGAGTATTACACAATCTCTACCAATATAGTAGGGCTAATAATAGTAATCAATGCTTGATCATTAATGGTGCCATATGTGATATCATTCCTTTATATAACATATTTGACTTTCTGATATGTAAGGGGTTATTTGAGATTGATATCATTTAACTCTGTGTATTGCTATAGCTTTATATAGCATTAACATTGCTTTGATAATCATGCTAATTTAATGTATCCCTTGAATTTTATATAAGCACAACCTTCAAGTTTCTGTTACTCATGCAATAGTATCTGTTTTATTGTATTTTAAAACAATTTAAGCACTAGGTAAGCTATTACTCTTCTGCTTTTACTCATTTTACTTATTATAATAATTTGTCCTAATAAATCATGCATAGTGTATGTGGATGTAGATTGTATAAAAAAAATAATTTTACAAATATTAAAGAACAAAAATATTTAAAGACAAATTCAAAATTAAAACATTTAAAGATATTAACAGATTTATTGCTGATGTATATTGTAATTAGATAATGTACATGGGTATATCAACATTGAAACTTTTGAATATAACACTCATAATTATTCTGAAATTTTTTTACTCCAGATCATTATATAACAAAGAAAGAGAATGAGAATATGAAATATTAATGTATATAATACTGTACAAAAGATGATACATATTTCACTATGAAAGTTTAGGTTTGCAATTGATTATTATTTTAAGTTAGCAGTCTGTACTTTACATTAGGAACATTTGTGTGTTTTATTAAGTATATTTTAAATTACAATACTGTACACTATGTGGACATTGATAGTGAAATAAAACATTACCTGACTGCAAATGCAGTGACTCTAGCTCTTCAAGTGGTTCCGGGTCTGGATCAGGTTCTGATTCTGAAAAATCAGAGAAGTCGGATGCACCTGCACAAAGTGATAGCTTCCAGAGCAAAAGTTCAAATCACAGCACAGAAACAAAAGTTAGGCTTAAGAATGAGTCTAGTCGCGAGTGGGATGAGAATCCTGATATTTATGGAATCAGGAGATCTGGCCGTTCTAGGAAAGAGCCTGAAAGGCTTGCTACACAACGTGAAAGCGATAGCGATAGTCGCAAGAAATATAAAAAAAAGGGGTAAGTAACATGAAGAAACTCAAGTAACTATCAGAAATTCAAGTTATAAATTCTATAATCCTTTCAATTATTTCTTATGGATTGAATAGATATTACACACAACAAACAAATGCATTTGATGCTTTTCCTATAATAATTAAGGATTTTCATCTATACTTATTAAAAAATAGTAATTTGTAGGTTTTCAATTTATGTACATAAGTAAATGTAAAAAATGAAATTCTTTTTTATACTTACAATATGTTAAAATATGTTAAAAAGTTTAAAATAACTATGTAGAATGGTATAAAAAAAAGTAATAATAAAAGCAAAAGTATTAGAAGCCTCAATCCTTATAAATTATAAAAAGGTATTGCAATATCAAGTACTTTCAATATTGATAAAATATTAATATTTTAGATTACACATTATTTATGAGTAGCTGTTATTTAGTTGGTTTGTATTTTGCAATTTCAGCAGCAATAATAATCTTCAAAGCTTCTGTGTTATAGTTTATGTATGCACCATTCTGTATTGCATATATTGTGTATCAGTGTGCTTTTGTAGTTCTTCTCTTTGATGTTTACATTTGTGTTTATTAAGCTTAATGCTTTACAGTTTTTTACACTATAGCAATGTTGTTTGTTTTGTATCATTTTCTTATGTGAAATGAAGTGTTGCTGATTGTATCAAATAATTTTATGTTAATATTCATTGTATTTATAGTTTGTATTATATACCTTTCTATGTAATTTATGTATTTTATTGAAATATCAATATGAAAAGAGATGTGATAAATATAGAATCTTTTACTTGAATTTGTATTAAAGTACCTGCATGTGAAAAATATAAGTAAACCATAGAAATCTAATTTTTTTTTTGTTAGTAAACAGTAAGTAAAAATTGTTATAATAAAAAAAATAGAATTTTTCTCATTATATTATAACTTTTATAAGTAACATTTTAAGTAAATATTTTATTAAAAGAGTAAATCCATATCATAACTGATAAAATCTATATATATATTTCATTATTACTATTACACGTTTTATCAGCATAAGTATTACAAATGTAATATATGTATATTTATGCTCTTCATGTATATTTTTACAGTTCACATAATTCATGGAACTCGGACAGTTCAGAATCTGAATCTGATGATGCTGAAGCTGAAAGTAGAAGACCTCCACCTAGTAAATCGTTAAATAGACGTGCCGCACAGAAGGCAAAAGAAAAAGCAAGGACTCGAAAAAAACAAATTTCTGAATCATCCGAAAATTCTTCTTTTGACAGTGATGATAATAGAAGGTATTTGTAATTGTACTTCTCATAAATAAGCTAAAGTAAATGAAATATTAACATTAATAAATTAACGTCAATTCAAATGGTAGACAAGTTACAAGGAGAACAGGGACTGCAATTAGTTATAAAGAGGAAAGTGAAGAGAGAACTGATAGTGAAGATCTTGTGGAAGTTGATGAAGGTAGTACTGCAAATGCAGAACCTGATAATGCAGAAACAATTGAACGGATTTTGGGGCAAAGACTTGGTAAAAAAGGAGGTTGGTTTTCAATATAATTGTAAATTAAATGCTCGTGTCCATTTTTTTAAATATTTTGTTGTAAAATATCCTTTAGTTACAGGAAACGTGACAACAATTTATGCTGTTGAAGAAAATGGGGATCCAAATCCAGAGGATTTGTCTAATGAAGAAACTGAAATGCAGTATTTAATAAAATGGAAAGGATGGTCTCATATACATAATACATGGGAATCAGAAGAATCTTTAAAAGCACAAAAAGTAAAAGGATTAAAAAAATTGGATAATTTTATTAAACGAGAACGGGAAATCCAACAGTGGAGAGATTATGCTGGACCTGAGGATATAGACTATTTTGAATGTCAATTAGAACTTCAACAAGATCTTCTGAAGAGTTACAATAATGTTGAAAGAATTATTGCTGAATATAACAAGCCTGATTCTGAACATCCAGATTACTATTGTAAATGGGAAAGTTTACCATATGCTGAAGCTACATGGGAAGATGGAGCATTGATTATCAAAAAATGGCCAGAACAAATAAAAGAATTTCGAGAAAGAGAGGAGTCGAAAAGAACACCAAGTAAACATTGTAAAGTTCTTAAATCAAGGCCTAAATTTCATCAATTAAAAGGGCAACCAGAATATATGGGTAGAGGTCGAGATTTGACCCTTAGGGACTATCAAATGGATGGATTAAATTGGATGATTCATTCTTGGTGCAAAGAAAATAGGTATATTATTTGTTTTGATATATTAGAATTTTATATGGGACATTATTTATTTATTTGGGAGTTATTTTGTATATTTTATATTATGATGAATTTTGTTTACTTACAGTGTTATTTTAGCAGATGAAATGGGTCTTGGTAAAACCATACAAACAATATGCTTCCTTTATTATTTATTCCACACACACCAGCTTCATGGGCCATTTTTATTAGTAGTTCCTCTTTCAACAATGACTTCCTGGCAAAGAGAAATGTCACAGTGGGCACCAGATATGAATTTCGTTACATATTTGGGTGACGTTACTTCCCGTAATGTTGTATGTACTATTTATTTTTACAAAATTCCAATTTTTTTAAATACTTAGCAAATTTATACATGTTCATTATATGTTATATAACGTGTTTTAGATTAGAGAGTATGAATGGTGTTATAGTTCAAAGAGATTAAAATTTAATGCCATACTCACGACGTATGAAATAGTACTTAAAGACAAAGCATTTTTGGGTGCCTTAAATTGGGCCGTATTATTAGTAGATGAAGCACATCGACTAAAAAATGATGATTCTCTCTTGTACAAAGCGCTTGCTGAATTTCATACAAATCACCGTCTTTTAATAACTGGTACTCCACTACAAAACAGTTTGAAAGAATTATGGGCCTTACTACACTTCATAATGCCTACTAAGTTAGTTATACGCCGCTTTATATTTTTAATTTTATACTTTATTTTATTCACAGTAAGATTGTACTGATTTCTTCTTTTTGTTAGATTTAATTCGTGGGAAGAATTTGAGAAAGAGCATGATAACGCGGCTCAAAAAGGATATTCCAAGTTACATAAACAATTAGAACCATTTATTTTGCGACGTGTTAAGAAAGATGTAGAAAAATCTTTACCAGCTAAAGTGGAACAAATTTTACGAGTCGAAATGACATCTTTGCAAAAACAATATTACAAATGGATATTAACTAAAAATTATAATGCATTACGAAAAGGCGTTAAAGGTTCTACTATGACGTTCCTAAATATCGTTATTGAATTAAAGAAATGTTGCAACCACGCCTTTCTTACGAAACCTACTGAAAGTGAAAGAAAGGAGAGTAACGAAGATTATTTACAACAAATAATTCGCGGTTCTGGCAAATTAGTTCTTCTTGATAAATTGTTGGTGAGATTACGTGAGACAGGTCATAGGGTGTTAATATTTAGTCAAATGGTCAGAATGTTAGATATTCTTGGCGAGTATCTACAAAAAAAACACTTTCCTTTCCAAAGATTAGATGGAAGTATAAAAGGAGAACTACGAAAACAAGCTCTAGATCATTTTAATGCAGAAGGATCACAAGATTTTTGTTTCTTGCTATCAACAAGAGCAGGTGGTCTCGGTATTAATCTTGCTACTGCTGATACTGTAATTATTTTTGATTCAGATTGGAATCCACAAAATGATTTACAAGCACAAGCTAGAGCACATCGTATTGGACAAAAGAATCAGGTATTTAATATTTTATATCAGCTTTGTATTCAACGTTTTAAGTATCAAACATTATTTTATAAGAAAATATATTCTGCTCTATGTAGGTAAATATTTATCGTCTAGTAACAAAAAATTCTGTAGAAGAAGAAATAGTAGAAAGAGCAAAGCAAAAAATGGTTCTGGATCATCTTGTAATTCAACGGATGGACACAACTGGTCGAACAGTATTAGATAAGAAAAATGCAGGGACCAATGGCAACCCATTTAACAAAGAAGACCTAAATGCTATTTTAAAATTCGGTGCTGAAGATTTATTTAAAGATGAAGAAGACGGAGACGAAGAACCAACTGTAATTGTTTTAAAGGATTAAACTATTTTAAATGAAACTTATGTGAAATTAAAAAATAAGTACTTCTTATTTTTATGTAATTAGTGCGATATTGATGAAATTCTGAGGAGAGCGGAAACGAGAGACGAAGGACCTTCAACAGTAGGAGATGAATTGTTATCTGCATTCAAAGTAGCTAGTTTTGCCGCATTTGAGGAAGAATCCGAACCTATTAATCAGCCTAATGATAACGATGACGAAAGCAAAGATTGGGTAAATTTCAGTTTCATATACATCGGAGTATATTTTTAATTATTTTACATGAGAAAAGTACTTAATAAGTGTTTTTTTGAAACGACTTGATTTTAGGCGGAAATTATTCCAGAAAATTTCAGAAAGAAAGTTGAAGAAGAAGAAAAATCAAAAGAAATGGAAGATTTGTACTTACCACCAAGAAGTCGAAAAACATTGCAGCAAATTAATCAAAGTGGGGAAGGTGCGTTGCATTAGATATTTATTTATTTATTGTAGTATAACATCCAACTGAACATTTAAGGAAGGGGAAGAAAACGAAAAAAACTATCTGCTGATGATAGTGATGAAGGTGAGGATTCTGGAAGCGAGGAGGCTGAAGGTAGTGACGATGAACGTCCTAAAAAGAGAGGTAGACCAAGAGTTACGCCTCGAGAAAATATAAAAAGTTTTACTGATGCAGAAGTATGTAGTTTTTTTTTTTTTATTATGCTATAATAATTGATTAATATGTGTTCAAGTAAATGTAACTTTTTTTATTATGTAGATACGAAGATTCGTTAAAAGCTATAAGAAATTCCCTGCACCCTTAAAACGATTAGATGATATTGCAGCGGATGCGGAATTACAAGAGAAACCAATGTCAGAATTGCGTTTCTTAGGAGACCAGCTAAAATCTAGATGTGAAGCTTGTCTGTCTGAATTCGAAAGTACCGCAAAAGAAAATAAGGGGGAAGAAGAGGGTAAAGGTCCTGGTCGTAAAAGGGGCAGAGGCCCCACGTTTAAAATCGGTGGTGTTATGGTCAATGCAAAATCTTTCTCAGCTGCTGTAAAAGAATTGGAACCTTTAGAACAAGCTTTACCGACTGATTCAGAACAGAGATCTAATTGGCATATTGACATTAAGTAAGTATATTTCTTGTAAACTTTTTACAATTAAAAAGCTATATATACATATATTTACTTTATTATAACTATTATAGAACTTCAACTAAAAAAAATTAATGCTCGCGCCGAATACCTGTTAAAAGTACTCAAGAAACAAATTGATTCCAAATTAGGAGTGGTAAGGAAATATAATTTTATTTTTATAATATTCCACAAAGAGTTCCTATACACCTCTACTCCATCATAACAGGGTTATGTCCTCATCCTACAATCAGAATATCAGTTTAAGGTAATTTTTAAATTCATAGCGTTTCTCCTTATTTTTGCGCATTGTATGTTCACACATTGTTAGTTTAAAATTTATATTTTAATATGTTTAAATAATGTTTTCAGACTAAAGCAAGAAAACCCAGAAAACCAAAAGAAGTAAAAACTGCAATTACAAAAGAAATTATAGAAGAGAATGATAGTTCAGGCGAAGAAAGTAATAAATCGAAATCAAAAGTCGAAAAGGTGAATTTGCTATTTATTTGCACATTACTGAAATTTCACGAATGTTCCACGTGTTCAAATTTTAACATGTATTATAGCCACCAATAAAGAAAGAAGAGGAGATTGTTGTAAAGAAAGAAACTAAAGAGGAAGTTGAAGATGTGGTGGAAGAGAAAAAGAAAGAAAAGAAAACTAAAAAGGAGAAAAAAGAAAATAAAAAATCTAAAAAGGCAAAACAAGCAGCAGGTCCGATGCATTTTACTGCTAATAATGAACCACGAGCTCTTGATGTTCTTGGAGATTTAGATCCTTCTATATTTAATGAGGTTTGTACTTATTTCTTTAGTATTAATTAACCATGTTGAATACGAATAATAATAAAATTCTAATTATATTTTTATCGTACAGTGTAAAGAAAAAATGAGACCAGTAAAGAAAGCACTCAAAGCTTTAGATAGACCTGATCAATCGTTGAGCGAAGCAGAACAAGTTGCTCACACAAGACAATGTCTTGTACAAATTGGAAACCAAATTAATACTTGTTTAGAAGAATACAGAGATCCTGAACAAATTAAAGAGTGGAGAAGTAATTTGTGGTATTTTGTGTCTAAATTTACAGAATTCGATGCAAAGAAACTTTATAAGTTGTATAAACATGCAACGAAAAAAGGAGGCGAGAGTAATACGAGCGCTACATCTAGCCCAGAAAAGAAAGATGATTCGGGTAATGCGAAGGTACGATGATTTGTTACTTTGGTTAGCTTCATTATGATATATAGGTATTATCAATATAATTAATTTTACAGAAGCACAGTGAAAAACATATCGATAAACAACAAATAGAAACTAATAAAGATAATAGGTTACAAAAACGTAGAGTTGAAGATATGGAAGAAAATTCTAATAGTAGCAATACACCGAGTAAGAAACATTTCTCAGCTATAACTGCTGTAAGCAGTATTAGCAATACATCTACTGTTACTATTGGTGCTATCACTATTACTCCGATTACATCGACTCCAAATTCTACTTCAAGTACCACTAATAGTGTGGATACACCACGGCATAAAGAGAAAGAATCAAAACATAAAGACATGAAAAGAGACAGAGAACGTGATAGGGATAGAGAGAGAGCACATAGTGATAGAAGTATGGACAGAATGAGTGGCAAAGATGAGAGAATTAGAAGAGATAGTGGTGGTTATAGTATAGGTGGACACTATAGTGGAAGCAGAGATGATGATCATTGGTTATCCCGCGATGGAAGAGATATTCGAGATGGAAGGTATAGTCAGAATATTGGAAAAATTATAAATTAACTTTCTTATAAAGCTATATCTCATTTAAATTGTCGATTAATGTGTAGATTTGGAGATCATAAACGTGATCGTTTCGATTCTTATGGACGAATGTCTGGTGGATATCATCGTGATAGAGATAGGGATCGTGATCGTGGCATGCACATGAATGACAAACGAAGGTAGGTTATAAATAGTAGAATTGTTTATGAAAGTAAAGTTCATAAAATTTGTGTTCAGTGATTATTACAGATATCCATCAGGACCACCAAGTTACGGGTATGGCCCAGGAGGATATGGAGGAGGAGGTGGTGGCGGCGGTTATCCTCCATCTGATATTCCACCAAGCCATTTTAGGGGCCGAGGTTATCCCGGAGATAGTTATCCTAGTGATTGGCGACCAAACAAAGATTATAGACGAGATTATGATAGAAGACCACCTCCACCAAATGCTAACTCCTAGTGCTCCTTCCTTGTTACCGTTCTCGAATGTGTCGTTGAACGGCTGTAATTCCGATGGAGCCTTGTGTTATTTTACCTGACTGAGCATTGTAAAGTATGCTCGCTTAAACGTGGCTATATGCTAAATTCTTTACACAGTTCATTCTGTGACTTAGTACCACTCGTGACTTGTACCTATGTATAAAATCTATTCCAATGCTTACTTAATATGCAAAGAATTCTACCATGATTGAATGGTCTTTCTAAGACTTTTGAGGAGAGGTTGTGCAAAAATAACGAATTCATACATATTCTTAGTGTATAATTAATACTTTTTTTTTTATATACATATATCAAATTTCTTGAAAAGGGTGATACAAATTTTTAAGTTTCTATTCACTAATTGTTTTCACATGTAAGAAATGATGTTTATGTATTTGAATCAGTTTTATTACAGTGCAATTATGGCAAAATTTGATAACAAACTAAAATCAAATTAATGTGTTTCTAGTGTATATTATTAAGTACAGTGTTAAAATTCGTAATTTGAAGTGTATGCCTTCCTAAATCGCATGTAACATATTTTGCATTTTCGATACTGATCATGTGTATGTTCAATGGATGTTTAGCTTGTATACAGTTATTGTCTACTTCAAACTATACTATGTTTCAACATGTCTTCAAACTTTCATGATTGATTTGTAGTTTAATAATTAATAATTAATCTTACATCGATCGATAATTTATTGCACTGCAATAGATATTAAAGTACCAACGTCTTATTTCATGCAATGAGGTATGTAAAATTGTACAAATTAGTCGACATTATATAAATTTTCTATTTGAAAATACATAAAAATGTTACATCAAAGAAATATGTAGAATACCGTAACATCTTTTTGTGATGATATACAGTGTACATGATTTGCACTGTCTTAATACGCATGTATTTATTGTAAAATTAGGAACAAAATGACAAATATGATATTTGCCAACAGATGATTACATTCTTAAAAGAGAAAAAAATAATATTAACTTTCTCCTCTTTTATAGAATTTATACTTTCGCAATTGAAGAAGTAGATAAGAATTCTATTTTTGCGTTGATTCTTTTAAAGTACCATAGTTTTGTAACCTATCAGAAACAATGTGAAATACTGTAAATATTAGTGTAAGGCAATAGTTATATTCGATGTATATTTAACTCCGGAGTTACTGAGATAATATTCTGCTTTCGTGTAGAAAGAATAAACAAAAAACTAGCTCCCTCAGTTTTGCTTCAGTTAAGAATGATTGAATATAACTATAACATTGTAACTGAAAAAATGATGAGTTTTTAATTATTCAACGATCGATATCTGAAAGAGTATTAAAACATTTCTTAATTAAATCTTAAATTATGGTAAGGATTTGTAAAGTACATAAGTTTTTGCGAGAACTTTGTATTTCATCGTTTATCTATTAGGAATGCCACGAGCAATATCAATTGCGCTATATCTTCGTAACAAATATTTGCGAATTTTATATTCATAAAAAAATGAAAGTCATAAGCTTTTTGTATCTATGCATTAATTTTTTTTGAACCTAAAATCACGTGAGCGCTATGAATTTTTCATAATAGCGTATTTTATTTTTTATCGTCTGAAATTACTTCATGCATAAATAATATGCCTTTACTAGGCTATAAAATAAAAAAATTATTTTGTAGATTATTTTATTCAGACAAAGTGAACTTATTAATAGTAAAAGATTTACAATTTTAGCGTGCATTTCTGTAAATAATAGTATGTACATGTGATGGTATCTGGCCAGGTCAAAGCGGAATTGTACAGTACGTTAACGATCTTTGTGTCTTACGTACATATAAAAAAGAGTACATTGAAATTACATCACAATAGAAATCTGCTAGTTTAGGTTTTTAATTGCAAGGTGATATTCTAAACAGTGAGCTATTTATAATTTATTACTAGCCGAATACAGACTGCGAGTAATAAAACAAGAGATATGTTGTAAATATAAACTAAGAGAAATAAATGATGTAGTAGAATAATTTAATATTGTATAATTGACATAGGATGATTGCAGTAACACGTTTTATTACTTTTGAAATTATGGATAAAAGTTTTCTTGACGTACGTGCGTCATAGGTGCCATGTTAGCACAAATTCTCGAAATACTTCATTTATCGATTCACTAGAATCGCTTTTTAAAGAAATTATTAATATGAATGATATTCTTTTAATTATGTATTTAAATAATGAAAATATAACATAACGGTTATTTGTTAACATTTTACTATCTATTTTATTTACATTATAATATTAATGATGTTTTGTATAATTACAAATACTTTTCCAAATTATAATATTCAATCATTAAATAAAATAAAAAATCATAACACTTATATAATTCTGAGTTTTTAAAATGTAAATATATTACAAATGTATTTATGTACATATACATATAAAACGCAATATGTCACATTAAGAAACTATGTCATCAGATACAAATAGTTTAAGGTAAGTATCTTTAACACATGTTACTATTTTTGTAATCATGAAAATTAATTTTTATGTTTAAATATTTATATTGTACAAACAGAAATTGGACAATTTGATCACTTATTACCTAATAAAATCCCCTCTCTAACAATTCCAGTACGACAGGCTCAATTCAATTTTATCAACACACTAGTGTGTCTATAAAGATACATTTGAGGGAGAGAGTAATTTTATCAACTTTAGCACTAATATACATAGGAAATAGTTCATTATTATATTTGTCATTTTTACAATGTACGTATTTTGCAAAGTTTAAATTGTTTATCTTGTTATATAAAAATATAAAAAATCTCCAAGGAGATTAATTATGTCAAACCACCGGCGAAATGACAGGTTACAGCAATATTCAAGAAATATAATACTCAAGAATGTACGTCTTTTTTATTAATATTTTCTTACATGCATTAAAAAACATTTTTTAGAATTATCATTATACACAGTGTCTTAAGAATTACATACTAATTTCAATAAATCATTTTCTAATGACATTTACACAAAAAACCTGTTACATTAGAATAAATTTACACCTTTATTATGTAGTGTATTAATTTTTACCATTATTTCAACTGCAATTTATTAAATTTGTCATAATTAACAATTAAAAGTTACAACCTTCTTTATCCTATTTATAACAGATAAATGTAAATTAATGACTTACATCTGTTGATATTTTTCAGATATACTCATGGCAAGTGAAGAACTAGATCATGTGATATTTAAACTTTTTCATTGGAAAATGAAAAATATTTAAACTTCGAAGTTTCTAAATGCAGAAAGAAAGATTTGGAAATAAATGTTAAGAAGCTTTAGGTAAAGATAAAAACTTTGTTTTGAATATTAATAAAATTAAACTCTATGTATCAGAATTTTTATGTAACAATGTTTATAATGTAATAATACATTTAAATCTTTTCAGAATATGTATCTGGAGTAATTACAGATTCAACTTTACTTGTTGATTAAAAATCATTAAAGGAGATAACAGCATTAGCTAATGCTTGTTGATTGCTGGTTTCAATGTTGTCTTTCTAACGTAGGATCAATTATTAAAGACTATATTACTATACATACTTATCACATTGATATTATTTAAATAATTATAAGATATCACTGATTGAAGAGTTTATTTATAAACATATTTTTGTAGTGAAACTGTATTTAAAACAATTTACAATAAAGAAATATGTTTAATACAATAATAAAACATATTGATAATTTCAATAGCTCATTATTGTTTTCAATAAGCATACAGTACTAATCATGTCGTCTTTACATATACATGACAGTTCAATGTGATTTGTTTATATAAGTAAATTGTTAAATATTTATTCATTTACAGCATTTCATAAGATTTTAATTACTGTTTTCGTTTTTCATAAGATCCAAATGATAAGTAGTAATGATTTATATAACATAATATTACAGAAATGTATCGATTATATATTTTTATATTGCACCACGCAAACTTCGTTTTTAATAATAAAACTTTCGTATATTTTTATATACGAAAACATATTTGTATTTTTATAAATCAATGAACATGATGCATTACATCTTTACAATACGTTCTAAACACTTCGTATCGTTCGTTCTAATAATATGATTTACATTAACATTCATTTTGTAATTACTCATTTAAATAGCAATTATTAATCACAATTAATACAAATACTTTGTTACTTTATGTATTGTTAGCTTAGAGTATGTAAGAGCTTGAACAATTCTCGCTGCAGTACCAAATTCATAGGATAGTAATGGTAGGGGGTTCAGCTTGTCAAAGGTTTTTCGAGCTCGGTAGATATATAAATCTGTTGATCGAAACACTGTCGTTAGTCAACGATTACACCGTCTACAGTCTTAACAGTTGCGCTTTTCCTCATCAGCACTGAAGACATTACTGTAGTACAGTAATTGTAACATAACGAAAATTGTTTCATTTTTTATATTTTCTTTTTGGATAAAATTGTTCTAGTTCCACATTTTTATGAAGGAACATATTGAAAATTATACTGAAGATAAAATGGATCGCATAACGGAAAACGGTAAGTCTATTCTTCCTATCGTACATTTTTTTTTCTTTTTATTGATTCACTGAACTCGAAACTATATTTGAAAGATAAAAGGTTACTTTAGGTGTCTCATTCTTTATTCCTACAAAATTGTGCAGCTTATGGCCCTTTAAAAAAAAAAGTTAATCAACTTCTCAGGTCAAGCTAAGCTTAGCTTGCATACTCTGCGATATACTTTGAGATGATATCAGTCTTATATCACGAACGCAATAAAAACTAACGCAATTGCAAGAGTTCCATAAATGAATTACAATTACTGGCGATTCAGTATGCTATGTGAAACACATAATGACGTTGTATTTTTATCATTATAATTTTCTCGATAATTGAACCGTAACATGTATGTACTGTCCGAGTTAGATCTTTTCATATCCATTGCATTTCTTTTCAACATGCGACTCGATGTCGTATCAATGTAGATTTATATATGCCAATCATATTAAGTATCAACGAAACGATATTAGGAAAGGATATCAGCTGTCCAGGTAGGGTACAGTAAGAGTAATATCAAGTGACTGTATTAGGGTAAAACATGCGGTAGAGCAGAGAACTTGGATATTGTATAGAGTTTCTGGTTATCACGATACCAAACAGTTATAAACAAAATTGAGTTCTCGATATTTTACTATATACTTCTATCCATTTAAGATTATTAATAATTTATCGAAGAAGAAGAAAAAAAGAGGAAAAAGAAACGGTCAAAAGCATCTCTGATATAAATTTTCGAAAACTCTATTTAAAAAAAAAAACGAAATTTCAAACTATATTCCTTATATACGTTTGGGCCGTTTAAAACGTACGATCATCGAAAGAGAAACGCTCCAATTATCCATCGTTACAACTACACGGAAGTAAATTGCGACAAGTTAAACTTTTTTTTGTTACAAGTCTGTCGCTTTCATGGTTATGCGTTTCAGATGACTCGGGGTAGATCCATCCTTCGCGCGCCTATCATCGCACATTCCTCTGGCATTGATTCGCTGCTGGTGTTACGTGAGATTGGCCTCGAATTCTTCGCCGATACACTTTGGTTTTCTACACGTCGCCTTTCCTTCAGTTTTTCTCCCTTTTCAACTCGACCGTTAAGCCGTCACGCAAAAACTTCTCCGCGCTTGTTAACTGGCTAGGCTAACTTTAATAAAATCCGTACAATGGATTAGTGAGTAGTATTCCTTTGCTGATGAATTCTCGGGTCAATAACTGTTAGAGGCGAGATTTTCTTCGATTTTGTTAGAAACGTTTGAAACATGTTCGGTCTGTCTGTTCGTTGAATATCTCGCGATATATCAACCGGCAGCAGCAGCTTTGTATTGATTGCAAGTAGTGAAGGTCAGTTGAACTCAGACGAGTTTCAGTAGTGCAACTATGAATACGGACGAGAAGCGTCAACGTAGCTTTGCGCGCTTTTGTGCAGCTCGATAGATACGCTATCGTAGTATGGAAACTACCGTAATTCAATACCTCCGTTCTTTCTCGCAGATCTCGTAGATAACGCAAAGGGTTGTCAAACTTTCGTTTTTTCAGTATTGCAGAACGTTTAATGTATCCTTCTCTGCACCTTGAATAGCTTCCTGTTTCAATAACGTTTCTCAACCGTAATTTATTATTGTCTCGTTACTTTGGAAATAAAAGAATAATTCGATAATTTTTTAAAAGTACACCATCGAAAATAATATAGCTCGCATATGTGACAGGTTAAAAGGGTAAAAATAAGGATCCTGATATATTACCACGAAGTATATAAACTTCAATTATTTGGCTTTACCTCCGAGTTCCTTGTAGTCAAATAGCCTTGCTGGAATATCATGATAGCCTCATCGATGTTTAAACTTAATTACTGAAACAGGGAATGGCCAGTTGCACGCCACCATCATCGCTTTTATCATTGCCGCTAGTAATTGCTGTTAACAACAGTACTTTTGATCGCCCTCGTTTCAATATCGTGATATAGGGACAACTTCAAGGTCATTGCGTCTATCCTCCGAAAATATATAATTTCGAAAATGGTACTTACACGTGTCATCGCATTAACACGATGTCCCTTCGATAATGTTTCAAAAAATGCATCTTTAATAGCTGCAAATAAAAATATTAATGACGTTCTATTCACGTTTTACGTCTTTTGAAGTAATTGCGTAGAACAGAAGGAATTTGTAAAAATCGAAACCGTAAATGATCCTGTGAAACTGATGTTTGACGTACATATGAAATACATACTAGGAAAGGCCTATGCGTAAGGTACGTTAAAAACATGTTTGCACAGTATTGCAGTCTTGCGAATAGAAGGAAAAGGGAAGTACTGGGGAACCGGTCTCTTGGAAATCACGATGACGTAGATTCTGACTCGAGTTCTGAATATCTGTGAAGGATGGATTTTTTGAATCTTCCTTTTACCATTACAGTACTGCAATCTTTCTGTGATCTTTATCCTGTTAATCGATCGTTTACACCGAATGCCAATATGGCACACGCTCGTTTGTTTATGATACACGAGCGCTATCTAACATAGAAAAAAGGACCAATTACGTAGCTTTAATTCCCTCCTTTTTGAATCTTCTTCGTTCGACAATTGATCATTATTACGTGATAAAAGAATGAGAATATCATTGTGACATTTTTTATTCCCGCGACTATAAATCGTAATTGCGTTAGAAACGATAAGTCGTACAGTTCCTGAACACGTTAAAAGCATACCCGTGCCGTGTCGACCTCGCACGCCACAGATATCTCTCGACACTTTCCGCCAATCGAGGCGCTACTTGTCACTCGAGACTGTACATCTCGTTCGTAGCGCGTGGTCCGGGCAAAGCTGGGTATTTCCCTCTCGAACACTGTAGCGGGAGGATCGCATTCGCCTGGAGGGAGGTATTCTCTCACTCCCATGTCACTCTCACCGTGCGCTTGCATTCTCCCGATATATACTGAACGAGACGCGACGTTTTGACCGTCAGTCGCGAAAACTTGCTTTTCGGAGACCGAGTAGTGACACCATCGCGCAACCTACGGTCACCGTTTCTAGATAAAGGAACAGAGAATCGAAGAGAAAAAAGACACTTCCAAAAAAAAAAACTTTGGAAGAAGAGAGGCAGACAGCGCGCGACTAGAGAGGAACAAAGATAGAAACCGGCAGAGGGAGAGAGACAGAGACGGAAGAGCCATAGGGGACATTCGCACTCTCCACAGTTCCGTCGGTTCAGTCACACTGCGTCACTCTACCGAGCGACTTCGCGGTCCTTTCTTTCCTTTCGGACTCGTTGACCGCGCTATCTTTTTTATTTTCCTTCTCTCGCGTTTCGAATTGATACCTGTCGCTCTTTTGTTTTCCCTTTCATTTTGTTCCTTCTTCACCGGAGAGGTATCTAATCCTTTGTGCTTGCTTCTCGCGAGCACGAACTTCATTAATCGAAAATAAAAAGAAAAACGACAACAAAGAAACCGAAAGAGAAACAGAAACGTCGTATCTTTTTACAAGACGTTCCTCCTTTGTACCGGTATATCGACGGACCAGCGAGGGGTGCACGTGAACCGACCGATTGAATCCGACTGCTAGTAAGTCTCATTAGTTTGTTGCTCGAACCCGATTCGCTGAAACATGCCGAGCGCTACGCACGCACGTATTGCTCCGCGGATCACGTGGTGTCGAGGCATCGAGAGCAAACCGAGAATCGCGCGTCGTTCGTAACGCGCTTCTACAGTTTTCGAACGAGTCAGTCCTCTTATCAAACGATAGTGATTGAACAGTGATATTTTTATCGGTTACATTTCTCTTCTGTATTCAAGTGAAAAAAAAGCAAATTACTATTTTATCGTCACACTCGAATTAACCGTTTAATAACCTGTCTGGAACAAAAGGTATGTTTTGTGTTCCGACGTTAAAATGTTTCAAGTCCCTTTTCCACTATTCCGCGAAAACATGCAAATATCTTGATAATGCGTTATTGCTACAAACTCGGCATGTTTTTTTTCGTATGGCAACCACTTTGATTCCCATTTCACTTATCAGCTTATTCGTTTTCGTTTACTGTCGTTTGTCTAGACGCCTTGAATCGAGTTCGCTAGACAGCACGTTTTGTTTTTCTTCGCGCGATCACCTCGGATTTAGAAGCAACCAAGCGATTGTTAAGTTTAAGTGGCGGACAGGGTCGAGAGACGGCAGTCATGAACGGGATTTCCAGTCAATGCGCGAAAATCAAGGATTTGAGCATATACGATGGCGAGGACGATCACACGATGATGATTAAGAAGCCCGGCCCTCTGAGAACTGTTTCCTGGTCAGAGAACGTCGAGGAGAGCAACCTGGATGTACCGGGGACGCCTAGGACTCCGCGAACTTCCACCACGCCAGGTATTGTTACCAGGAAAAATGAATAATCCTCCGCTCGGAATTTTCTCCTCGTAACCTCGAACCACAAGTAATTCCCAAGACGAGAAAACATATATGTCGATCGGTAACAAAAAAAAACTGTCGACAATTGTAAATACTACTACGGCGAATAGTACAATATCGACAATTACTTCTGAATCATGAAACCGATCACCGGAATGTTAATTGCAATATGACACACATGTATTTATAAGGAGATAAAAGAAATTCGTGCGAGGTAATTAATATCTCGAAAGTTACATTACGTGTTGAATCAACGCTTGGCGCGAGATTTTGTAATTATTTTACGTGACACAGTTTTAGTTGAAAAATTTAGAAAATTGGCGTTACTATTGAATTATATTTACTCATTATTCCTTCTTTATCGACTTGTTGCTCTGTTACAATTGGTGATAATTAGAGAGCATAACAGGTGGCACACAAGTTTATTGCAGTTTTCATCAAGATTCACCGTGAAATTTTTACTCAAGTACAATCATCGTTAATTCTTTCATGGATTTTATTCTATTCTCAAAGCAACAGTGTCTTCGCCATTAGTTGCATGTCGAATCGATTGCTCGTAAAATGCAACGATTTGCACGTAATAACTCGCTTCGAATCACTGCGGTTGAAGTTTCCGTAGAAAAGAAAAAAAAACTCCGCGTCGTCATTTATCCGTTACGAATTACAGTGAAACGTCACATAATGCCTCGGTTCGTTTTATTCCGTCATTCTCCGTTGTTCTTAGCCGAAAATCTGGCGCATACGTTTTCGACCGACTTTTAACCTAATTTCATTGCAGCGTCGCTATATCAGTCATCAACACGCATACGTTGGTCCGTGAAAATGTTTTGAAGAGCAAGAGTGCTCTCGCCATAGTTTTTTTTTCCGGGTCAATCGTACCTGCTGATCTCAAAATGATAAAAAGCCTGGGAACTGTTGGGGTACAGTTATGATCATACGTAACGTATAACTGTAACGTTACGAATGTATGATCCCACGTGGCGTGACTATCGACTTTCTGAGAAGAAAGCGCATTTTATTTTCGGTTGACAAAGAAAGGAAAATCCCGCTTATGTGTACCTCTCTCGAATTACAACAGGAAGAAAAAAAGGTGGTGTTCCCCGTCGTATTTTTCAACGAAACGGTCTTAACGATCTTTCAGACGCTTATTCACGTAATAACTTCAATTTTCCAGTTGGTACAATTTGTTTGATTAGACTGGGATCGTCGGTGCTTCGCTATTTTATTAATGAGATTTCTCGTTGTAAATATTCATTTTACCTCGCAACAAACCATCAATTTTCTCGTCTTTCGCTGTAAAAAGGAACGAGACGCAAAATTTTCTTCTCTCAAATCCAATGCAAAATGTTCAAATCATTTTCAATATTTACACGATAACTCGCGATGCGTGAAAAATAAAACAACATTGTGTCTCGTAATATCTCTTCTTAGCAAATCTCCATTTTTCTTCATTATATTAACGTTTCGAGATTACGAATTTATCGTAACCAAATCCAAATTAATTACCTTCGTACTAATTACGAATGACTACGCGAAATGTGATTTTAAAGAAATGCTGATAAATGATCTTTCTATCTTCGTCCACTCATATTTCTCGACGAATTACAACGTGTATTGTGAAGCGTGCGGAGAGGTAGTATCGTGTGAATTTGAAGTATGCACGCAGCTTCGTCGCGCTGTGGTCCGCTAATTACTTTCAACAGTGTACACAATGTGCGCATATATTGACCGTAGAAAATTTCGAACAGACTCTCGCGTATCGTACGCGATGTCGTTATACGATTGAATTACACGGTACGGTTCATTAGCAAGCGATGGCTTAACTTAGTTTTCCATCGTGAATACGTCAGTTCCAGCAGCGTTAAGAGGAGGTCCTATCCTTCACGCGACACTTCCGTAAATAAATCTATGCAGCGGCAGCGGGCGAGAAGTCCCGGGAGAGTCTGTTTCGCTTTAATACGTTCTAAATTGCTCGCTGTTGAATCGCTAGCTTTATACAAGTGATAAATTATTTCTGTCGATAGAAATCTCGCCTTCTCATCGTTGTAACGCCGTCGTTAATCGTTATGCAACAAATTTAGCAACGCGTGGCACGACGGAAGCATCGAACGTCTAATAGACAGCGAACTTCTGCCGCGTTTCTCCTTCGCCTTTAGAATATTATGTATAATTATAGTACGACCAGTTGCACGAGACTTGGCGTATCGATCGATTAATCGATCGATTGATATCCGTCACTGTTAATCACACCGTTATGCTAATCGTGAATGCTTATGAATACACGTTTGCACACCTAGAAAGAAACGGTAATAGAAAAAAAAAAGAGAATGGAAAAAAAAAGAGGAAAATTTGTAATTAGTTTGTTATTTCGCGGTTTATGTTTCATTGTTGTGGTTGGTGGATTTAATTTGTTCGTTAGAGTTTAATTGAGTGCTGATTACTACATTAGACTGCAGATTAGGAAAATGTGAAGATACAAAATTGTACAGAAAAGATATATGCAAAATATCGAAATTGTAGTATTTTTTGTAATATCTAGGTGAAATAATTTTCTGCCCAAGTTCTACTTCTGTTTCTACTATATTCTCAAAAATATAAAATTGCACAAAAATCTATATGCTACTAATTACAGATAGTTACTCGATGTTACGTAAATTTAACCCTCTTAGTATCTTAGAATCGATATATCGAGCTCTACATTTTCCCCTAGAAATACCTTAAACCGATATATCGAACGTTCGATTTTCAGCACAATTTTAATCCACGTAACGACACCTTACTTTTATCGAACGAATTTTTACAGTAGCAAATATTTCCATTGATTTCTTCCCCGAAAAAAATGTGAGCAGAGTAATCTTAATTTTTAAGATGAATATCTTAAGTTCAACCTGAACGTCCTCAAAAGTGCAATATTTTCCGAGGTATTTTTCGACGGTGCGTAAAAAAAATCTTACAAAGTAGTAAAAGGGTTAATAAACACTCGACATGTGTGCGGAATTAATATTCCTCTTTAGCAAATTGTTTCGAATCGCTGAAAGTATTTCCACCGCACACCTTTCTCCGACCGTAAAGATCAATGAAAAGATACAAAACATGTCGCGAGTGGTCGCGAGTAGTCGCGGAAAGGTTCGCACGTATTTGCGAACAGATGCGCGACCGATCATCAGTGACGCACACCAGAGGGAGACAGAATGAAAGTAGGCGCACTTGTGGGTTGCATAAGACGAGGAAGAAGAGAAAAAAAAAGAAAGAAAATGGATTTGAATTTTTCAAATACCTCACGCAGGGCAGATGAATATGTTGTCAATACAACTCACGCAGTCATCGTGGGTCACTGCAGACGATAACAACGATCTTTGTACGTATTTTGTTTCGTTCGGAATTGAAAAATCGTGGCAGGTTTCACAAGCGTTCCGTACGCGATACGCGAGAGCTTCAATGCCGTTTCCATATTTTCAGGAGAAGAACAAATTTTGAAAAAAGAATATGTTTGTTCGACCGAGAGAGAGAGAGAGAGAAAGATCCTGTGTGAAACATTTTGTATTTCTAACCTATATTTGGATTTTATTCGACGCGGAGTTCAGTGAATCTTGTGAAAAATTCAAGGAAATGAAGATGATAGAGAATTGTTGCTTTACTTAGGTCACGAGAAATGTACGTTTCATCACGATTTGGAGCTGGATCATAGGCCACCCACACGTGAGGCTCTGCTTCCGGAAATGTCACGAAGTTACAGGCTACTTTTGAGCTCCCTTGGCGAGGACCCGGATCGGCAAGGCCTTCTAAAAACGCCGGAACGTGCCGCGAAAGCTATGCTGTTCTTCACAAAGGGCTATGATCAAAGCATCGACGGTAAGTCGTCACGTTCGTTAGATTTTTTATTCTTTTTTTCTTTATTGTTCGCAGAAAAGTTTAAGTAACTCGTATAATAGGACAAATTGGTTCGAAAAAGAAAGAGAAGAAAAGGGTTTGTGACTGAAGAAAAAGCAGTTGAATTTTTGAAATTTTTCATTAAGTCGAAAATAATATAGACAAGAATTTTTTTAAACGACAAGGTCGATAGGGATGAAACTATGAACACACCTACTTGAGGAAAGTGCCTCCCATTTCTTTCGCTTGATCTCTCCCGCTCTCTTTGCTATAAATTGCTTTAAAAAAAAAAAGAAGAAATGTCTTTACGAGTGAAGAAAGGCTATTGAAATTTTTCATTAAATGGGAAACAATAGAGACACTAGATCACGATTTTCTTAAACGATAAGGATGATACAGGATGAAATTTTTTTATTCTACCTCTCTCTATCTACTACAAATTGCTTAAAAAGAAGAAGAAATGTTTTTACGAGTGAAGAAAGGCAATTGAATTTTTCATTAAATCGAAAACACTAAAGACACTAAATCAGGATTTTCTTAAACGATAAGGTCGATACGGGATGAAACTATGAATACACCTACTTGAGAAAAGTGCCTTCCATTTCTTCCCTTCTCTCTCTATCTCTCTCTTTACTCCAAGATACTCGAGATCCGTCACTGGGAAAAAAAGAGAGGAAGACTTAAGTACGATTCGAAAAAAGGAGAGCGTAAAGCTGATGATATAAATGGGTCTCAGGGACGCACCGGGCATCTCGAGAAAAGAATGCCTTTCACCTTTTCCTTCCATTTGTTGTACGTTCCTCGAGTAGAGAGAACTGCCACTGTTCCCTCGGTAATTATGTCTCGGCGAACAACCGAATAAAATAGAATCTACACGGTACACCCATTAAACGTGGTTCGTCCATTATACAAAGTTCATTCAATATCAATTTAATTGATCCATCGAAACGCGACAGTGGTAGTGTATTATCATCCTGTTCGAATGTATATAATTTTGTTTATCGAACGAATCTTTCTTCTTCTTCGAAGAAGAAGAAAAGATTCCTGAAGAAAACCTGTCGGTATCGGCTTTAAGTTGAAAAGCCTGTTACACCTTTACTCATGGTCATTTAAAACAAGTTCCAATAAATATCGCGACTCTTTAACAGCGTGAAAAGATATACGGTGGAGGAGAAGGAGCTACAGGTGGTGGTGGTGGGACTTTAATTCACTTCGACTTAACCCTCCTACGTTCTCCACAGTGAAACTACCCTCGAGATAAGCCCGGTTAACGGTAGTTCTCTCTACTACGCCCCGGTGAATCTGAAACGAGTCCGGGCCACTTTCCTACGAAAGCTCAAACCGTACTACTCTCTTTACTAGCCAGCCAGCAACCCTCTTCTGCGCGGCACTACCCCAGAAACCTTCGCTTCTGACAATTTCTCTTTGCCTTTCGTTCTCGTCGATAAGCTTCTGGCCGTATTCCCACTGGAAATGCACACGGATATGTTTCTCTCTTTCTCTCTCTCTCTCTCTCTCTCTCTCTCTCTCTGTGGTCCGTGAAAACACAAATGATCTTTCCTCTTTAATGAAGATTTTGTTAGTTGGGGAAATAATCGAACCACCAGCGCGAATCAAAGTCAAGAACGTCGAAATGGTAGTGAACAGTGGTATTGACATCAAATGCCAGGCTGTTTTAACCTGGTGATTTTTTTACCTTTTTTTTTATCTCGCTGCACATGTATGTGTATATTAGGTCACAGCGAACAGTATATTGGGTCATTCTAATAAACTATGAAATTTGAGTGAAAAAACGTAAGCGCTTTCTGGTTTAAGAATTTTTTTTGGAAAGGCCATTATGTCGACGCTGTAAAATTTCTTTAGATTTTTTTGTTGAAATATGTTTGTCGCTTTCGGTACGAGCTTATGGGGTTGACCTGATATTCTACTTTTTCACCGATCTGACGTACGTTTTTATGTAAGATCGGATGTTACGTGTGCATTCATGTGTATTTTATAAATCTCGTTTCATTTGTTTATTGCTGTAAGCAAATTTCTTTAACATAATTATGAATTCTTGCTTCTCTCGTCGAAATTTCAAATTCTAATCAACCATAATTGTTCTTCTCTCGAACGAAGAAAAATCGGGTTACATAGGGTTAACTGATTTACAAGAAAAATATTTTTTAACTTTTTTTGAACTTGTATTGAAAAATCTTAAGTACATCGGTTGAAAATCAGTGTCATGACAATTCCTACCGAATAAAATCGTTTCTACATCCTACAAAATTCATCGTTTAACGTATACAATTACTTATTCATACACTTCAATCGATACAACGATCCCACCTCGCCATATGTTTGCAATTCTACCATCTCTCTATCTCGTCCCTTTAAAAATCATTTTGCATCACAGATTGAAATAATCACGGGAAACTATAGAATAGTAAAATTGGTAAATCGATTAAATCTACAGTATTCCCGAAATCCCTCGGGGATCGAAGGTTGATCGCGTTAGATCACCGAGTCGAAAAATTGAAATTGTACGCTTTGAGTGGGTCCGCTTCAAAGGTAGTAAATAGGAGAGAGAGGAAATTGCTCGAGTCTAGTCTGTTATAGAATTTAACGGACATATTCGCGAAAGCTTCTGATCTTTACTTGAAAAGCGTCGAAATAAAAATTCATCCCCAAAGTTGGTCTGCGGATCTCCCCCGAAAAATTGATCTCCTATTATTTCCTCCGTATTTGTCGTGTAAATAGAATTCTAGAGGGGTTGATTCTTCTCTCGTTGCCACAAGAAAGAGAGAGAAAGAGAGAAGGTCGCGTGTTACGTATGGAAAAATACAGTTGGTTAACCGGGGACGCGAATTCGTTTCATCATTGCCGGTCATTGTGAAGGTGTTTCTTGTTAAGGTTGCCGTGGAAACCGTGGAGAGCACCCTCCATTACCTACCCACCGACACCTACCAACCACCGATTCATACTTATACACACCACCACTATCACGGCCGTTGTAGTAAGTAGGTCAATATCGAGTAAATCACAGCTAGGATCGTGAGGACCTTAACCCACGTGCAAGATGTTCTTTCGCGGAACAATTTAAAACGACAATACTCTCTCTCTGTTCTCTCTTTCTCTGTTCTCTCTCTTTCTCTGTTCTCTCTCTTTCTGCTCTTTCTCTCTTTTCTCTCTCTTTCTGCTCTCTCTCTCTCTCTCTGTTCTCTCTCTTTCTCTGTTCTCTCTCTCTGCTCTCTCTCTCTTTTCTCTCTCTCTGTTCTCTCTCTCTGTTCTCTCTCTCTGTTCTCTCTCTCTTTTCTCTCTCTCTCTCTTTTCTCTCTCTTTTTTCTCTCTTTTTTCTCTCTTCTCTCTCTTTTTTCTCTCTTCTCTCTCTTCTCTCTCTCTCTCTCTCACCTTTCTGCACCGAGGTTATTGTTTTGCAGTTGAGGAAAATCTCTTCTCTCTCTTTCTCTGTTCTCTCTCTTTCTGCTCTCTCTCTCTTTTCTCTCTCTTTCTGCTCTCTCTCTTTTCTCTCTCTCTCTCTTTTCTTTCTCTCTTTTCTCTCTTTTTTCTCTCTTCTCTCTCTCTTTTTTCTCTCTTCTCTCTCTCTTTTCTCTCTCTCTCTCTTCTCTCTTTCTCTTCTCTCTTCCTCTTCTCTCTCTTTTCTCTCTCTCTCTCTCTCTCTCTCTCTCTCACCTTTCTGCACCGAGGTTATTGTTTTGCAGTTGAGGAAAATCTCTCTCCACGTCGCTTTCACAGTTATCGAAATTGTGCAACGTACGCGCGATCGTAAACGCGATTTAAATCTCTCGTGAACGTCTGTATAGAATTTGAGTGGTCCACGGTGCATGAGGGAGAGCTACACGCCGTTAAGATGTTGAAAAATCAGGTTTCACCTTTAGAATTTCGTCGTACACTTTGATACAAGGAAAATTGTATGCAGATTGTATGGTTTTGTCAGGTGAAATAGGTCTGAGTGAAATATTCTGTTGTAAGAACAGCTTTTGTGAAGGTTGTTTTTTAATCCAATTTTTTAGGTTTATGCATGGAGAAAATGAAACATTTTTTTCTGGGATAGTATCTTTGTGTTAGTAAGTTAAACGCTTTTTATTGCTATTGGTGCTTGTAGGCGTTTTGAAAATTTGCGAGTACTATAC